TATCTACGTGATGAAGAGGCCGAAATGGAGTACAGTCGTCGACACAAAACCATGAACCTCTTCAACGTCATGGTGAAGCGTAAACTCGTGGACGATACCACCGAAGAGGGCCTCTCGGAGGCGAAGGAGGCCAACGCGAGGTTGGTTAGCTCTTGTCATTCCTTCCCAACAGGAATGCATTCTGTATAATCCTCTACTACAGTAAATGTGCTAACTCGTGAAATGTTAACCGAAATTCTGAAATGCGTTTTCGACGCAAAATTAGGGTTCTAGTATTAATTGCTGTGCAGCATAATGCCATGCTACTTCATTTACTTCAGGATGTCGACTTTTATACAAACTTCTTTCCGGTCAACTGCAAATACTACACTTTGTAAAAGTGACTACTTAAGTAGCATGATTTTTTCTCATTGATTTTCGATGTCTTTATGAATTCTAATATATTTTATAGAAAGCGTGCATAAAAAATTCATTGTTTTATTTAATAGGAAAGCACGTCTTCTTTAAATTTTATACTTAAAAGAAGGGTATTATTCGGTTTTAAAACAATTTCTAATCCCTGAATAATTTTGAAGCCGACCTGCCTTTGCGCCTGCATTCAGGGTTTCAGTACAAGTTGCATATTTTCCGTACACGGAAAATCATACATTTATACACGCTATTAAGGGGAGACCATATGGGGCTCATGAAATTTAGCAGTGGAGTTGAGTAACAAGCAACATTAGTAAATGCTGAGACACGATGTTTTAAGAATGGGCATTTCACGTCCTTAAACAATCTCACCATTAGCGTAACGGCAGGTCGGGTTCAAAATTATTCGGGAATTAGAAAGTTTTTGAAAACCGAATAACGTCCTCCCTTCTAGCTCGTCTGATTTATTATATTGTGGAATACGCAATTTGCCGCGAGAGGGTTGACTGAGTATCAGTCTCACCCTCCTCCCTATCGTGCGAAACTATCGACCGATTGGTGTTGAAATTTGACTCAGCGGCTGACGTAAGTCGGATCCCCGTCTAATGTTAATGTTCGATCAATAAGGTCACACAAATCTTCGTTGGGATAGTTGTACTGTCTTGTTGCCTACCATGACTTGCATGATTTTAGATGGATCCTACTCACACCGCCTGAGGAAATTACACGACAAAGAATATTGTTCAATCATTTTCAAACTATCTAGACCAAATAGATCGTCACCAAGTATCCATAAATTGGACGTGTTCGTATGCTCGAAGCGTACATTGTGTTTACTTTCTAGTCCCACCAAGTGCCCCACTTTTAGACCATCCTAGTTACATGCATTCATAACCTTGTTGTCCATATTTCGACCAATTAGAATCAAGGCCGGACTGGCAGCAAGCGCGGCCGACGCCGCGGCCAAAGCCGAGGCAAAAGGCACCAATGGCAGCGGTGCGGGCGGCAGTAAGCGCTCGCGCTCCTTCCTGCTCACGGAGCTGGACGAGTGGAACGAACTGTCGGACGAGGAGGAAGAGGACGAGGATGATGAGGAGGAGGAGGGGAAGGGAGGCGCTGAGGGCGCTGACGACGGCCGTCTGCTAGGCTCAGATGCGGACGACGAGGGCGTAGGCGGTGGACGCGCAGGCGGCGCTCGCGGTGGCAAAAAGAGTAAGACGGCCGCTGCCCGCAGGAAGCAGAGGGCAGCAGCCATTGTGGCCAGAAAACGTCGCGGCATAAAGCAGCGCAAACGTAGGCGCAAAAATGCTGTTGTGGCGGACTCATCTGATGAGGAGGACGACGCCAACGAGGAGGCCTGGGACGAGAGTGAGCCGGATGATCATGAGGGCGATGAGGTTTGTCCCATGACCACTGTCTTTTCATTCACCCCCAGTCAGCGGCGACGAGTAGGCGTGGGGAAAAAGAATGTCCTATGCGCGTAGACACGTTGTTTGGAGGCCCCGCCTGGTTGTTCTACAGTGTGCATCTTCCGTTTCTAGTGGATCCTCATAGATTGCTTTAGGTCAGTATATTTTGAGGGTAATAGACAGTGCCTTTGAAAACCCTATTGAAAACGGTACATGCAATATCTGACTTTAAATAAACATGGTACTAAAATGTCGTCAGTAATAGATACACGTAACATAATACTTTTTCTCTGAAAATACAGGACATTCAGATGTAGATGATATGGGTAAAATGAAATGACAATCATCCGCATTATCGGTAGGTGTATGCAGCCCTTACTTGTAGGTGTTCGAGAATTCATGTCGATCTGGACGGCGAAGTCAAGTATGGCCGTTTCTGACTTATTCGCCGTCGTCAGACGGCCATATCCCAACTCTGGGAAGGGGGAGGGGAGGGAAGACATGCGATTCTAACTCGGCTCCAGTTGGTCGTTAGGCCAGTTAGACCGCGGGCTAGTCTTTATAAGTGTGACTCTCGTCAGCAGTGGCTCCACCGGTAAAGCAGTGTGTTCAATAACCAGTTGATTCGGGTTCAAATCTTAAGTCTTCCTGATCTGGAGTTGGGGTTACTACGAACTGTCGATGATAAATAAGTCAGAAATGACCATTCTGGTCTCTGTGGTCTTTGTCGCCAACATCTGAATATTTTTCCCCCTCACACTATGCGGACCGCCGCTAATGTTCCATGGAAAAACCGAACGCCTGTACTCCTGACTAGGTATGTACATGGAGCCCTCACGTTGGCATTCTGCAGAACAGTCAGATGAGCTTTTGTTGCCCTCAATTGGCGCGCTTTTCGACTGTTTAATGACAGTGCTCCTCTTCAAACAGTAAGAGTTATTTTCCCTCCCATAACACATATAGGTCGTGTTTAAAGCTGTGTTCTTAGTACCAAACTCTCCGCTCATGGTGTGAGCGTGAATCTTGATGTGCTCGCCGGTTAAGAGTTAATTTAGGATCAGATGACTATTTCCGGGGTGCCAGGACCTCATGCTTTAGCTCTTAATTTCGATATCATCTGTGACCGTCTTCCTACGAAGACCAGGTGAATGAAACGGACACAACGCTATTGTCGAACTCAGCATGCTTTCATTATCAACCGCATGTCATTTCGGAAATACTCAATGGAAAGATCAAGTAAATCTGACTTTTCCTGGAGATACTAGCTTGTCGCCGATTGCTAGGCCTTAGTTATGTCTACAAGATGTCATGTGCTAGTTTCCAAGTAGACTAGGGTTAGCGTTAGGTTTGAGGTTAAGGTTTAGGTTAAGGTGAGAACACGGAAATATTTGCCCATCCTGGACGTGTATCAGACACAACCGCAGCCGTAAGGGGAAACCGCGGAGACCGCAAACCAGCAAGACCTCCAGCCAGGCCTGAACGCAGACGCACGTGAACACAGTTCACGCATGAACATTGATGACGGGGTCGCCAGCCCGATAGGAAGAGAGACAGCAACAACGACCCAACAACCACCGATGAGACGCGCACGAAGTGTGGAACGGGGGATCGAGCTCCAGGAGCTACACACCTCGGGGTCGGGTAGGGCTGGCTGACGACGGCCAGTAAGCCAGAAATGGCCATTCCAGTCTCCTTTGTCTTTTTCGGTAATTCTTTTCTGCATATATATGTGTATTTACACTAGAGAGAGAGTGACATTTCTTGTAGACGAAATAAACTTTGTCGCCTATACAGTAGATGTGCTAACTTATGAAATGTCAACCAAAATTTCGAAATGCGTTCTCGTTTCGAAAAGATAAATTAAGTAGTGTTGTAAAACTAATCATGATGCAGCATAAATCTATAATGATCCAGTTACCTCAGGGTGTCGGCTTTCGAAAGAACTTATTTTCGGCTGTATGCAAGATCTATACTCTGCAAAAAATGACTACTTATGTAGCATGCAATTTTCTCAATGACTTTCGATGCCTTTGAAAATTCAATTATATTGCGTGGAAAACATGCATAAAAATATTCATTCTTTTACTTATTCGGTAGAAAATCACGTCTTCTTCCAATTTCATACTGAAAAGAAGAGTATAATTCGGTTTTAAAAAGTTTCTAATTGTGAAATTTTTTAATACCGTTAAATGACCGTTCACGAAACGTCATGTATCTGCATTTACGATCGTGGCTTGTAAAGTTAACAATATTACTCAAATCCACTGCTTAATTTTATGAACCTCATATGGTCTGCTCTTAACACCGTAGAGAAATGCATGGTTATCCGTACACGGAAAATATACAGCTTGTAGTTTTGAAACCCTGAATGCAAGTGTAACAGCAGGTCGGGTTCAAAATATAATTGGGAATTAGAAAAGTTTTTTAAAACCGAATTATACTCTTCTTTTCAGTATGAAATTGGAAGACGTGATTTTCTACCGAATAAGTAAAAGAATGAATATTTTTATGCATGTTTTCCATGAAATATCATTGAATTTTCAAGGGCATCGAAAATCAATGAGAAAATTGCATGCTACATAAGTAGTCATTTTTTGCAGAGTATAGACCTTGCATGCAGCCGAAAATAAGTTCTTTTGAAAGCCGACACCCTGAAGTAAGTGGATCATTATAGCTTTATGCTGCATCATGATTAGTTTTACAACAATATTTAATTTATCTTTTCGAATTGAGAACGCATTTCGAAATTTTGGTTGACATTTCATGAGTTAGCACATCTACTGTACCTTCGACACGTGTTCACCTGCTCGTCTTCGAACTTATGCGTCATGTACCAGAACAGTTATGTAGTTTACCATTCCTCTTACGTAGGTACTAGCCAAAGCCTTCTTTCATTCTGTCACACCACTCTCCACAGCTCACTGTCTCTTTTTTTTCCGGCTTTCCCAGGTCGACTACATCACTGATTCCTCGTCAGACGAAGAGAAGCTGTCAGCTGATGAACGAGAGCAAATATATCAGGAGACTGGAGTGGATGAGGAGCAAGGTCTGAAGGCCCTCCTAACAGATATCAGTGAGTTTGCCGGCGACATCACTTGTGCATTCACTCATACCGCCACCACTGTTGTTCCTGACAATTTGTTGGCGGCCATGCTAACCACCTGTCCGCTCTCCCTTGCCTCGGGTCTTCTTGACTGCGTCTTGACACCGGGTTCAGGTGGAGGAGGAGGGAGTGAGGCAGATGCTGTGCAAGTCACCGTGCCTGTTCTCACCCTGCTGTAGGTGCAAATAGTAGGCATCGTCGGACATGACGGTCGAACTGTCAGGGCTATTTGTCGTCCCCTTGTCCTGAAATCTCTCGTTTGCTTGCTAGATTGATGTGTCCCGCACACCGGTGTGTACGCACAGGAACGACAAGAAAACACACCTTCCTCGCCTCTAGTGACGTTTGTAAAATTTTGACCTTACGGATTCAGAGGTGGAGATTCACCACAGTCGTCGACTGGACGCGTGCAGTAGGTTTGCTATCTCATGAAGGGCCAATCGAAATTCTAAAATGCGTTTTGGACTCGAAAAGGCTACTTACGTAGAGTTTCAACATTATTTACCATGCAACATAATCTCAAGACATTTCAGTCCGCTTGGGATGCCGGCTTTTGAATGAACTACTTTTGGTCGTCTGCAAAACTGCTTTTTGCGAAAAATGACACATTTAAGTAAAATGCATTTTTTCCCAGTTATTTGCGATGCGTCTTTAAATTCACATATATTTTGCAGAAAACGTGCACAAAAATATACGTCCTTTTACTCAGTTGATAACAAATCACGTCTTCGTTAGCTTTTTACTAAAAAAAAGAGAGTATTTTCCGGTTTTAATAAGTTTCAAATTAGCAGGTCTTGTATGACTGTAAAACTTCCATTCATAAAACATCGTACCTCTACATTTATTAATATTGCTTGTAAAGTATGCAATATGGTTCAAATCCACCGAAACGTTTTATGAATCTCATGTGGTATTTCTGAAGAGCGTATAGAAGTGTGTGATTTTCCTCACACGGAAAGTATACAACTTGTAGTTTGCAAACCCTAAATGAAAATGTAACGACAGGCCGGGGTTCAAAATTGTTCAAGAATAGAAATTTTTTTCAACTTTATTACAATCCTTCTCCAAGTGTAAACTTCAAAAAAGAAGCTATTCGCGACCAAACGAGTACAAGATAGTATATTTGAATTTATAAGTGCATCGAAAATTACTGGCGATACTGCATACTACTTAAGTAGCCAGCTTATATGGAATTGCGGTTTTTATAGGCGGCTGGAAGTAAGCTAGTCCATCTTGAGATTCTACTACACAATCATCACTATTACAACCCTGCTTTAGTTATCTTTTCGAATGGAAAACACATTTCAGAATTTCGGTCGACATTTCATGCGATATCAAATCGACTGTGGTTATGTTGCCATCGCCTCGGGATCGGCTATTCCCCTGCAGATGCCGTGCGCGCATTTTTTTCCTACAAATGACTCGTTCTGTCCGCCAACATTTAAGACCAAATACTCGGGGCTTGAGATTCATCTTGCGCAATTGCCCGTTTGGCGCATGCACTGATGCTATCGAGCGCCCCTGCCCTACCATTGTATATTCCCGATCGAAACCGACAGGGCAACGGGCTCGAGACCCAGTGGTTAGAGGCGTGGACTTCTAACTAACAGGTCGCGAGTTCGAGCCTCGGGTCTTCCACACGTCGGGGTTGGGAATGACTGGCTGACGACGGCTAATAAGCCAGAAATGGGCATTCCAGTCTCCCTTGTCTTTGTCGGTAATAACCTACTGCATATATATTCACTGTCGAAATTGGCAGTACGTGAATGCTGTCCCTTTGGCAAAGTGGGTTGGATCAGCAAAAACTGAGCTCAAACCTCAGGTGTTCGCGGTCTGCAGTTGTGCTTGATACATGGCGATAGAAAACACGCCGGAAATGGCACCTTCGCGAGTTCTAGATTGTAGTTAAAAGGCGATGGAAAATGCTTCTGCAATCAAATCAGAATGGTTAACTATTCACATACCAATCAGCAAGTGTCTGCCTCACATACTAACATGTGTACATCAGTGGTGTATGTCGTGATTAGAGCTAACTCATCCCTGCTTCTTGGCATCAAGTCTTTGATCTACCCGACCTTCACGTACACTGTCGGCCCTGATGTTTACTCATCGCTTTTTTTTCCACTGCCCACAGAGGCGAGAGAGAGAGAGAGAGAGACTGGAATGACCGTTTGTGGTGCATTATTCGTCGTCAGCCAGCAAAATTCGTAAAACGCGACGTCTATATAGGGTAGTTTTCCCCATCACAACCGACAGACCAGTGGGCCCATGTTGCAGTAATGGGACGTCAGGCTTAGTATTGAATGACTTGAATGCCCAGGGTTATGCCGGCCTTGTGTCGAATTATGACTAACTGACGATGTTTAATAAGACAAAAATGGGCATTCCAGTTTTCGCGTCCATTTCGGTATTTCATCTACTAGTTCGCTTGGCGTTACGTGGGCGCCTGTGAGGGCTTTTGATAACGTTCCAGGGCAAATGAGGACGAACATGTTCCTTCGGGCAATCAAGTCGATGGAGTTTTGCCTTCAAATGGACGAGTGTTTTGGCGTATTTCGAAAGTTTGGGTACTCAGTGTAGTTGAGTCGGCTGGATGTTACATTTTTACTTGCTAAATCATGCCCTATTCAGAAGTGTTTTTTGCCTGCCAGGTGATTCCGATGAGAACCAAGACGAATCGAAGCGAAACGAGACGCGCGATGGGGATGAGGGCGCAGGAGCCAGCGACCGCGATGGCAGTGATGACGAGGCGGCCGGACGCAAGCGTACCTCCAAGTCCAGCAGAGAAGGAGAAGGTGGTAACGGGCCACGGGAAGATAAACGTAAGAGGCACCGCCATCACCATCATCGCAGCAGCAAGGTTGATGAGAACGAGTCCACTTCCGGCTCCTCAGATGACGACGAGGATGCCTCATCTTCCTCCTCGTCCTCCTCTTCGTCTTCCGACGACGACGATGACTCTTCCGACTCCGACTTTGATATGGCGCCGGATGACCCCGAGCGGTTGGCACGCAAGGCTCAGAAGAAGGCCGAAATGATGCGTAAGATCTCCGACAAGGTTTCCCCCTCCAAGTCGATTGCCGCTGCTGCTGCTGTCACTGGCAGTCCTGCTTCAAAGGAGTCTTCAGGTACACCTCCTACCGCCACCTCCGTGACAAAGCGACCCGCTGAGACTGGCGCCACCGAGGAGGAAACGGAAAGCGGTGCAGCTAAACGTCTCAAGACAGCGGACAACGCCGCTACGTCCGCAGCTGAACCCGCAGCTCCTCCACCGGACGACGAGCTGACGGCCCATGTACGGAAGTACCTCATGCGAAAGCCCATCACGGTGACGGAGCTGTTGAAGAAGATTCGCGTCAAGAAGCTTGTCCCGAAGACGGACGATGCGCAAACCCTGCTGGCCAATGCTCTCAGACGGCTGAGGCCCATCAAACAGATCATTAATGGACAGCATGTGCTATCTCTCAAGCGATAAGTCACCCTCCTCCCTTCCTACGCTTGTGAACCGCCCACTCAAAAAAGCCTCCGTCCACGTGACTTAATGAATGAGAAAATGAACAGACTGCTTCACTGCACGCCGCAAGGCGTCTGAAAGAGGCGGGTGTGCAGGCCTGCCTCTGCTATTCTACTCATTACTGGGCCGCTTTTTCTCTTGTACATACACGTCTATTTTTTGCAATATATTGGCGTTGGTACTATTTATTCGGTCTGGTTCGTCTTTTGCGTGTTTTAATGACTTGCGCGTTCCCGCGTTGACGATCCATTAACAAGGGACATCTCATTCTTAGTTTCAGATCATGTCTCTCTACAGAAACCTGGCCTTTTTCCTGAAGGGCGTCCGTGAATTCACTAGGTATGGCTTCCAACCTAAACTGATATTAACTTTTGCTCTGTTGGTGAAGCTTGCTTTGGGTAGAGTTGAAAGCGTAAATAAAAACCACAGACACCCAGCGCTGGTAAACTTTCGCGGATTTGGCTACAGAGCTGTGGGACAAAGGGCTTCGATTTGGACACAGTCACCTTTTTCGATGAAGAGGCGCTCTTCAAAGTACGAACTACATAGCCGAAGCGGTCCACCACGCCTCCAGATTGATAAACTGGGCATACTGAAGGACCCATCCAAGTTAGGGAACTGTCTCTTTGCTCTCTGCGACAGAACCTCTCTTTCGAAAGTATAATGATATCCGACAGGGGAAGAATGCGTGAAAGGCTGGTAAATCGAAGCACAGGATGCCCAGGCGTTTGGGTGGCTGGTGCGACAGCGAACAACAGGTGATTATCATCGGATTCGCGGTAATAGTCTTGCAGCAGCAACGATACCAGGCCACGGGGAACCTTTGAGGTGCGCGCGTAGAAATAGTTTCGAACCCTCTTCCGCTTTGTATCGCTAGTAGGGTTTCAGTCGCGGTTTAATGTCAGGAAGACCGCTTAAAATGCTGTGGTTGAATGTGAATCATAAACAAGCCCTCCTGGCTTGGGCGCTACGACGGCATATGTTGTGTTCTTCTCAATGGGTCAAAGTTATTTGAGTCGATGATTCTCGATTCCGAGTGTGAAGGGTCGACGAGTGAGTCTGAATGCACAGATAGAGGGATGATGAGTATCTCGGCTGTGTCAGTTGATAGAAGTTTCATCCATGCTCGGACAGCTGTCTAGAGCCCAGGACATAGCAGTCTGATGCAGTCACTGATGATGAGACCGAGTTGAATAGGAAACATCGGGCGAATAAAACTCTTGTTTCGACGACCGTGTTTCCTCCTTTGCAGTCTGGTTTCTTCTTGATATGAACGTAAATGGTTTGTGCTGTATGCGAATCCTGCGACTGCACCTACCCGCAGTCGATGTCGAGCCGTTCGGGATACCAGAAGATATTATTAGCATCGTCTACCTAGGTCTCCTGGGTACGATCCAATAAGGCCTACTTGAGATTGCCTTCAATGGTAGGGGGCGCTCACCGATCGTTTTTACGGAACTCATTCGTTCCCTTGTGCCTTACGGGCTCTCTCTCTCGAGCCCAACCAGCAGCCGCACAGCGGCGCATGATAAGGGCGGTATGTTATAACCGACGAAGACGAGGGAGACTGGAATGCCCATTTCTGGCTTATTGGCCGTCGTCAGCTAGTCAACGTTTTTGCTTTGACGGGACCCGACGGGTCTTTAATAAAAATTATTATTATTATACCCAACCCCGAAGTGTGGAACACCTGAGGCTCGAACTCACGACCTGTTAGTTAGAAGTCCAACGCCTCTAACCATTGGGCCACGGGCCGTTGTCCTGTCGGTTTCGACCGGGATTATACAATGGTAGAGGGGCGCTCACCGATCGTGGACATAGCGTGCGAATCAATCGATAAGACAGCTACGCAAATAGTGCGGGTCTCGAAGATATTTGAGTAAAGGCGTTATCGTGTACTGCGAATAAACAGGAGGGACGCAGTCGCTTTCTCCCTCGTGCGTCGCCGCGTGCGGAATATCAAACTGATTCCAGCCAATCACTGCATCCAATCGTATCTCCAGGCCCTTAGTCTCCATCTTATCTCTGGAACATGAGCGAGCGTAAGAGTGATGACGCATAAGTCATCAGCGCCATAATCGGGCTCACAGAGGGATTGCTGACAAGGTTAAAGGAAGCCGACGTGATCATCTATTGCGTTTTTGCCTTTGTCAATCAGGCATACCCAGAGTCCGGAGTGATAGGACTTAGCATTTGGGCTACTGAATCACTTTACTACCTTGTACCATGTTGGCAGTAATCTGATGCAATCGCCATCACACGGCGGTGGCGTTCATCAATGCTTGATAGTGGCGCTAAAAAATTGTGCAGAATTAGGGGGAATCGGTAGACTTGCACAGTTTCAAGCAAAGCTCAACGAGATAGTCATGCACACCTGTTAATCTGCCAGCTTCATCAGTATAACTACGGAGGCGCTCTCGGATCCCGCTAGGTCCTCCAGGCCTCTTGGGCATAAGTAACCGGGTCGAAGTCTAATTTCAGTGCCAATTGCTGGATGCCGGACTTAGCATCGCTTCAATGCCGGGCAAGTGATATCGAAAGTCTAATCGCAAGTTCAGCCTCAAAGGGCATCAATAAGATCGAGCACGGCTACAATGGAGTGGGCCGAAAGCAGAAACCAACCCTACATCACAAATAAACCCCAAACTGGGCCATCTTAAAAGCCCCGGAGGATTAAGAGGCCGAACGCAGTTGAAAGAGACTGAAGAAGGCCATCCACGTCACTGTCGCCCAAGTACTTGTGTCCGTAGTCCGAAAGCACCAGGACCAGAGCGGTTACAGCTACAAAGGATGTCAACTTTTGAATGCGCTTCTTTTCGACCTCATGCAAAAACCACACTCGGTAAAAAGTGACTACTTAATTAGCATGCATTTTTCACATTGATTTTCGATGGTCTTGCAAATCTAAACATATTTTATAGAGACCGCGAACATAAAATGCTTTCTTTCAGTCATTTGCTAGAGAATCACGCCGTCTTTATATTTTATGCTCGAGGAAGGGGTATAATAAGGTTTTAAAAAAGTTTCCAATTATGATATTTTTAATACCGCGCAATGTGCATTCCCATAGCATCGTACCTGGACGTTTACCACTGCTCCTCATGAAATGTACAACATGGTCCGCATCCATTGCAAAATTTTATGGACCCTGTATGGTATCGTTTTAAAGGCATAGAAGAATATGTGATCTTCCTTACTCGGAACACATGCACCTTGTAGACTGAAATGACTAAGCGCTAATGCAACAACTGATCAGGCTCCAAATTATTCGGGAATTAGAGCACTTTTTTAGAACCTAATTATACTCTTTCTTCAAGAATAGAGTATAAAGATGACGTGATTCCCTATCAAACGACTGAATGAAAGCATATTTTTGTCCGTGGTTTCTGTTAAATATATTCGAATTCTCAAGACCATCGAAAATCAATGGGAAAAATGCATGCTACTTAAGTAGACATTTTTACCGAGTTCGGTTTCTGCGATAGATCAGAAAGAAGCGCATTCAAAGTCTAATCATTGGTCCAGCCTCAAAGTAAAAAGACACCAATAAGACCGAGCACGGCTGCAATGGAGTTGGCCGAAAGCAGAAACCAACCCTACATCACAATTAAACCTCAACCTGGACCATCTTAAAACTCCGGGGGGTGAAGAGGCCAAACGCAGTTGAAAGAGACTGAAGAACGCCATCCACGTCACTGCCGCCCAAGTACTTGTGTCTGCAGTCTAAAAGCACCAGGACCAGTGCGGTTACCGCTACAAAGAATTATAACGAGCCATCCCTGTGGAAAACCAAATCTAATGAACCTACATCATCAGCAACGCAGCCCAAAACGACGTCGCATTCCTCCAGTGCTATGGCAAAAATGAAAAAAAGACTGGGGGAGATAGAAAATGACTAGCTGACTGCCAAGACAGATGAAATTCTAGGATACGCAAATCGCATCCATCAATGATGCACAGCTCACTGTGACTGCGCGCCCACTCGAGTGTTTGACTATCATTGCCGACGATGCGCACTGTGTGTGCGCAGGGTGTGTGTTGCTACTCAGCTGCGACAGAACGACCCTACTGACGGTGAGATCGCAGATCCTGAAAGGCTGGGTCGGGCTTTGTAAGCGCATTATCAAGAAGAGTCCTTTTCAATCCGTGATTAAACCATCAACAGACTTTCTCAAGTGGAGCAAATCGATGTCCTCGAACGCCAGCCGGCTCTGCGGCCCGGCGCTCACTTTTGGTCACTTTGTTTTTGTCTTGCGATCGGAATGCGGCTGGTGTGGGGAGAGAGAGATGACCCTTTTTTCATTCACGCGACAATTTTCGGAATTTTACAGTATTTGGCCTATTTTATTCGTCATAAACTGGCTCTCCTCCACTTTTCTTGTTTAAACTACGATCTTGAGGTCATGCTTATACTACTCTAGCATTGTTTTGAAGGGACTGGAGGGTATATCCGCCGGAAATTTCTAAATAATGCTTTCAAAATAAAGCGTATTTTCTCCCTCTTAACAAACATCCGGGGTGCGCACTCGATAGGGCGGGTGTCATGACATCGCATGCACTGATTGACATTTTATATACTAAAGCTACTTAATCAAGGTAAGTAGGTGGTTATCGTAGATAGATCGATGATTGCTTGCAATATATGCGCCAATTATGACGATCACACAGACCACAAGGCGTTTAGTTTATAACTCTTGTTCGGATTCTGCAAAAACTACCGCGATGATATTTTTGCAACCCTAACCTGGGAAGGTGTGCCTCTTTGTATGCAGCGTCAATGTTCATGTGTGTCAATTACTTCACTCCGAAAAGGTCTTTTAAGCAAATACAGGATGTGGTGATGGCATCCGTTGGGTTTCTCTAACTATAGTTACGAGTATTTCCCTTTACAGGCAGAAAAACTGAGCAAAAAAGACTCATTGTTTCTGAACGAAATAACTAACAGATCCTGAGAGAGTCTC